GGCTCCGCACAATAAAAGGAACAGGGAACAGAGAATAGAGAATAAGAATTTCAACCTATCAGAAATCATGTATTGTGGAATACGCAGTGTGATCTCTGATAGATTGAAATTCTTATTCTCTGTTCTCTGTTCCCTCTTCCTTTTATTGTGCAGAGCCCCTAACAACAGTAACGACTAGATTCGCAACACACAGAATCGCGGACTTTCGGAGATCGAAGATCGCGAATAAACGGGATAACAAAACCAACATTATCGACACCACCGACATGAATGGGAGTGTCAGGGGGTTGGTTAAGAGTTATAACTCTTGCAATCCGTAAATCCGATTCGGAGATTTTTCATCGTGTGGAAATGTGGGTAAAACAGGAAGCTTTAGCATCCCCTTAAATTAAAATTTTTTTTCTTGTGTGTACTTATGTTATTAAATTTAGACTATGACCTAAATAATAACAATATAAATGTATGTCCAAATAAGTAATTTTTTTAAATATTTGTTCGCGACATAATGCGACCTCGAAAATATTTCTGATATAAATATCTTATATTTTTAATAGAAGACATACCAGATTTTAAAAAATCGTCAAATAAAATTAATCGAATAATTTCGATATATAAATTCTACACACACGCACACACATACACGTCATATGCGCGCGCGCACACACACACAATACACATACACAAGGTCTCTTGTTTAATTTAGACCCGGTTGCACCAATTGACTACATTTACACGGCACCCTTAATCGAGTTTAATAACATCCGTAGTTATGAAACTGGCCAATCACAATCATTCCATTCTCCCGACGAAAAGCTATGATTGGCCAATTTCATAACTACGGATGTTATTAAACCCGATTAAGCGTGCCGTGTAGCAGATGTTACTTTGACTTTAAGCAAGACTTAAAACTTTGTCTCGTTTTGAAGCGAAAGAGAGACAGAGACAGAGAGAGTTTTAAGCCTCGCTTAAAATCGAGGTAACGTTGGTGCAATCGGACCCTCAAAATCAGTGAATTTTATAGCGTTTTCTCTTGGGATACACTGGGTGCAGTCTCACACCGCACCAGTTACGTGTAAGCGCTACACTACACTAGAGTGGTGCACACCATGGTGTACACTGTATCATTAGTATGCTAAAACCCTGTACCCGCTTGACTTTTATTTTCAAATTTTAAATGTCACACTGGTTCTACACGGTCTCTTTGAGACGGTGTAGCAAAATCCCACTTCGTGCATAAAATTTACACTACACCGTAGCCACGGAAACACGGTACACCGAATGAGTTCGCTTACCACCAACCATGAGGCCTGTTCTTTTTGGCTGAACTTTTGCACCAGTTCATCTTTCTTCCTCTTCTTTCCTCCTGGAGAGAAAAGGAAGAAAGATGAACTGGTGCAAAAGTTCAGCCAAAAAGAACAGGCCTATGGAAACACGGTACACTGTCTGAGTGTTGCACTAGTGGGCAATAGTGCAGCCAAGAGAAAACGCTATTAGTTGTTCATTTCGGGCAGATTCCTGAGGGGGTGGCTCCCAGTTGGACACGGCTCAATTGGACACGAGCCACTCACAGCGCTTGAGACTACAAAGCTTCTAAGCACCGGTCGCTGTGATTGGTGGTGTCCAATCGAGCCGTGATCAATCGGGATCACTCCTTCCTGAGGCGACCCCCACTACCACTAGAAACTCGGTGGCTGAGCCTCCGATCGCTCATGTGACGCTGTGCCCTAGGAGCATCGCGATACGAAAAGTATGCTGGGAGCATATCTCTCCGGCAAATATCATTAAAATATTTTCTTTCCTACGTGATTTTTATTTTAATAAATAATTAAAATAAATCTTTTATTATTAACATATTTTATTATTAACATATTATATTCTGCAATAATATATAATAAAAAATTAAATTACAATATGATAATTATAATATAGACAATGGCTTTCCATGTTATCTTGAAAGTATTATTATTGATACGTTTTTCAAATAGTTTCTTCAGTAGATTTATTTCATTAAGAAATAAAAAAGGATGATTAAATATATGTGACTCGATAAAGTAAAATTTTACATCATAAATATTTTACATTGTAAAATATTTATGATGTAAAATTTTTATGTTAATAATAAAATATGTTAATAATAAAAAATTTATTTTAATTGTTCATTAAAATAAAAATCACGTAGGAAAGAAAATATTTTAATGATATTTGCTGAAAAGATATGCTCCCAGTATACTTTTCGTATCGCGACGCTCCTGGGGCACAGCGTCACGTGAGCGATCGGCGGCTCGGCCGAGTGGTAGTGGGGGTCGCCTCAGGAATCTGTCCGAAATGAGCAACTAATTCCGAGCACTAGTCTAGAAGAAGATGAATAACAGTAAAATTAACTTCCTAAGGTCACATGAAGGTCATCATCATTTAAAAGAATAAGATTAATGATTTTTTCGTAATAATTCCTCTAATTATTCAGCATATAAAAATATTGAAGTAGAAATATTTAAAAAAATTTTTTTTTTAAATCATTAATTTACGAAATATTTTATACTTTAATCTGGCACATTTTAATGTGAAAATATTTTATGAACTATTCATTTTTTGATAATTGTATCTCAATATTTTTATGCATCGAATAATGAGATAAATCGATTAATAAAAAGAAAATACACAGTTGCTTTTCAAAAAAAGATGTAATTGCATATTACAAATTCTATAATTTTTTTTTTAAGCAATTGTGTTTATACCAATTAATTCATCTTATTTTTATTATTCTGTGTATAAAAGTATTAAAGTATATTAGTTATAAAAAAATGAAAATAGTTTATAAAATATTTTATATTACACATGTAAAAAATGTACCAGAATAGAGTGTTATGTCAAAGCCCCAGGAATCTTTATTCCACGGGAATTAAAAGGTATAAAAAAGGGGCTCTATTAATAAAAAAATAATTTATAATTTTATTTTAATAAAATTTGTAAAAAAATAAAAATTTTGTGAATTTAAGAGAAATAGATGAAATTAGCGGAAAATTTGGAAAAGCAGGAATTTTGGGAAAAACAGAAATAAGGAACATTAGGGAGATTTTCATATCCCACCAAGGAAATTGCTTCGCCAGTACCTGGCAACACTGCTTACACGTGAAAGAAAAGAATCGTGAGATTTTCCCGGCGTAACAAGAGCATAAAATATTTTGTAAACTATAATATTATGATTTGTTATAATTCTGAACACAGCCAATGTAAAGAAATCCATATGATTCCATTTACAAAATGGAAAATTAATTTTACAACACAATTAATAAGAAATAAAGGTCTATAACGGTCGAAGCTAGATTTTTAATGCTTAGATAATTCCATGTAAATTTATATGTACTATACAGTGAGGTCTAAAAGTTCTGGAACGGTTAATATCTCAAAAAGTATTGGTTTATTTGGAAAAATGTTTCAGACAAAGTTGTAGATTTTAAAAAGATCTATATACTGATCTTATTACACACAGTTTGTTCTTGGGTGGCGTCGCCAATGTCAGGTCGAGGTTACATCGATTTTATTAAATACCTTAACTATTTTATATTCCAGAATCTAACAGCTGGTGTATCAAGAACTTTCCAAAACATAATAAAGTTCATTTTCATCAAGTACTTTTCAAGTTATAAGGCTTGAAAGTTACAGTACTGTCGATGTTAGCATTATCCAAGGTGTCCGATCGATGGCTGAAACCTCTTGAACATTGTTCAAAGTCTGGATAACATTGATTAAAATCAAGGCCATAGAAAGTTACTACTCTTATTTTCATTTGTGTACTAAACATTAATTTTTACGTAAAATTGGGCTTATTCGATGCGTTTTTATATGAAACGAAAGAAGTTAACGACTATCGGGTTAAGAAATCTATCAGTTCTGTTACATCGATGGCATATAGAGAGACATAAGAACATATAAACGAGGCTACAACAAATATTACTTATATGATCATAATCTATGAACAGGAAAATATATATATATATATATATGTATTTCTAAAAGTTTTTTACACAGCCAGAAGTTTTATAATTTTTTTAAATTCATGCAGTGATAGAAAATCAGTTATAGTAGAAAATTTTTAATTTTTCATATTACATCCCTTAGTAAATAATTCTCACAGTTCTAGTATATATATTACGTAATATTATATTATAAAACAGAATTATATATATAAAATTTATTACATTTATTGCACTATTTTTGCCAAAAGGAGGTCATCCTGAAATTCAAAGAGAATTACTATACAAGGATAGGTTTTGTAATATATCTTGTATATATGTTCATATATTAGCAATGTTATCTTAGAAAGCAAACAATATAACTCTTCTTTAACTGTTTATAAAATAAAGATAATAAATAAAATGGTTGAAATTATATAATATCCCAGAAACATTGAAATAGCTATATATTCATATATATTCAGTTAATACAACAATCCTGCTGAGAATCTACTCCAGGTGGGAATGGAAAAGTGGGATTGCTTCCGAAATCAAATTGAAAAGGCAAGCACTGTTCGCCAAAAAGATCGTCAGGTGCTTGACCATAATTTTGCATTTCCGTCATAAGTTTTAATACACATTCAAATCGATGTTGTTTAATATCTTCTGTATCGTCTTCCTTTTCTTTTTCCAATTCAATACATACCTTACACAGAATATAAATATGTTAATTGTGTAAAGCTTCCACATAAATCGTAGATTAATTAATTAGTTTATTATTAACATACCTTTTGCATCAATTCTGACTGTTTTGTATATCTCTCTAAATCAGAAGCAGTTAAAGTTGCTTTATGTTCCTCTAACCATGCTGGATATTTATCAGATAGTTCTTTCAATGACGGATAAAGAATTTCTTTTGACAAAAGATGCTCCATCATTCCTTGCATAAATGGTAATATATCGCCAGTATCACCATCAAAAGAAGTTTGCCCAAGCATAGCTGCTACATCTGTTTCATTCTAAAATGTATTATTTATTTTGATCCTATCAGAAAGATGAATAGAAAATAATATTACCTATTTACTATTATTGGTTACTTTTATAAATTAAAAAAAATGTTAAATTGCAAAAATCAATATAAACAAGTATTACTGCTATAAAGATAACTTTTATTAACCCTTTTATTAACCCTTATATAGTATAATACACAAATCGGTACATTATCGATACGAATCTGGATATTTCGAGTCCGTCCATTTTTCCATTTATTTAAAGTGATTCAAACATATCTAAAAATTCATGAACATACATTCAAATTTCTAGAATAATGTCTGAATTTTGTTTTAGATAATAATTAAATGTAATATAATTTACCGAATTTTCTTACTAAAGAAATTATAAGTTGGGTAAAAGTGTCATTTTATTTAAATGTAACTTTTACATTTAACTAAAATGTAACTTTTTATAATAAAGGCATATAAAAATGGTTAACTTTTTAGTTTAGATACAAAAAAATGTTTTGAAAAAAAAGTACAAGACTTTCAAAGGACCTCGTCATAATCTTATAGAAATTGGGTTTCGGTGGAGTGGTCTGAAATTTTGATATGTTGTAGCTTTCGGCATCCTGAACAAATGTCTCCATAGGCACAACCCCTGAGAATCGATCCTTCGCCCGCTATGAGTCGGCAAAGTAAAGATCAGTAGATAGGCCCTTTGACTATAAACACATGGACTGCTAGCATCTCATTTTTGTTATAGGAAATGCATACTCTCGGTGTCGCCGAACTGAAGTTGGTTGAAGATTGTTAGGCTCCGTCCTGAACAGTAAAGACCGGCAAGTTCAAAGTTGCCATGCTTATATTATACACGCACCATTCGTGACACTGACCGTGCTTCTTCTTCTTCTTCTTATTTGGTTTTCAAGTACAGAGCAAATTAATGAATTCCATAATCCTTCGAATTTTCTATAATCCTTAGTCTCCTCGAGGAGCAGAGACCTTTACTGACCATTGCACACCGTAAACATACATATACTATAGTCAAAGCTCTCTACTCCTGCAGAAAATTACTGTCCGGGGCGGAGCTTAATCTTCCAACTTGGCAACACGTCTGAAATTGGCTACTGACAGTCCATGTGTTTATAGTCAAAGGGTAGACCTAATTACAATAACGGGCTATATATCACGAGCAAAGGATTGATTTCTGGAGGTTCTGCCTATGAAGACATTTATTCAGGATGCCGAAAGCTACAATGTATCAAAATTTTAGACAATTCTGTTGAAACCTAATTTCTATAAGATTATGGTGAGGCCCTTTTTCAAAAAGTATAATTATTTGAGCACACAAAAATAAGAGATTTTTAATAAATGTGCGTACGCACGCACAATGATTTTTTAATACAATTTTCACTTTGTACAAAAAGAACACATTCAGTACAATTCTGGGTCATTGTTGTATAATGCAGAATCGAACCACTGTTTACAAAGAAACTGACGGCCGCGGTCGCCTTACACTGTGCACAGGTGTTCCCCATTACAAACTTTTTTAAAGAAGGGAATAATGAATGGAAGATTCATCGAATTTTTCGTGAAAAATTTGCACGAACAGGAATCGATCGAATCAGACACAAAATATTGTATTAAAATAACTATTAACATAATTATTAAAGTAACTAAATTTGTCACTTATGATCTTATTTTAATTTTTGTCGGTCATGCGAAATTTCGCACCTTTCGTTAGCAACCTAGATCTTTGAGGTTTAGAGCAAATTTTTATATTTTTCTAGACAATATAAAAATCTGAAACAATCTTGCATACTTATAAAAACTTTAGTAACTGTTTACTATTATAGAAATCAGATTTTACTTATTTTTTACAGATTTAAATTTACCTATCAGAATTTATAATTAAAAAATCGACATCTTCAAAGTTAATTTAGTCAACGGAGGGTTAAATTAAAAGCATCATACACTATACAGGTTGACTAAAGAAAGTTGAGAAATATCTAAAAAATAATTCGAGAAAAAAAATTTCATGCAAAAGTTCGTAGGATTACAATGAATCACTTTGCGATATCCCATTTGATCTTGAGCACAAGAGTAAATAACGTTTCACTTAATGTCCGCAACGCTCGTGTGCATCATTTCCTTGTTTGACATTCGATTACAACGAGGATGAAATGACGCTCACGAGCGTTGCGGACATTAATAGCGTTTTCGGCCCGATCGGGTTTGCACCAACCTGGGTTGGATTAATCTTTTCTATTGGTTGATGTCACACGCTCTACCAATAGGAGAGCGCAAAACGTCATTAATCCAACCCAGGTTGGTGCAAACCCGGTCGGGCCGAAAACGCTATAAGTGAAACGCACCCATAGAGGAGCTTTCAAATTAATTTTAAAATTTTAAATAAAAACTCACTTTTTATTCAATATTCTTATAGCTAAAATGTCACAATCTCTTCAAAACATTATAATGAGATTCCTTGGTATTTTCGTATTTTTCGAGATGAGTTAATAAACATACATTGCTGGCATTAACATTATTTAAACTGTTCAACCGATGGCCAAAATCTTTTGGATGTTATTCAGTTATATATCAAGGCCATCAGAGAATCTTTTATTTTCATTTTGGGAGTACCTCACACATCTATAGTCATATATGAAGCCTCATGAAATATATTTATATATATAACATTGTTTTTGCGAACGAGTGGATTAAATCAGTCACATCCTGCACTCAATTCCTTCCAGGATGTGTTCTACTTAACCTTCGCAATACTCGCGAGTATCATTTCATTCTTGTTGTTATCAAATATCAAACAAAAATGAAATCGTGCATGTCAGAGATGTATGCAAGCGTTGCAAACATTAATTGGAACGCATCCCCCAGTAGTGAGATACGAGCTGCACTCTCTTAATCCTTCCAAGAAGAGTAAGATATAAGCTGCATTTAATCCTGAATATAGTGAGGTATAAGTTGCACTCTCCACATGTCCAACCAAGAAGATCTCTCCCTTATCTCTTGCTTTGATCTTTGCTACTTTTAATGATGTTAATGTTTCAGTATAGACTCCTACCTCAAAATTCCAAAAAGAAAACTCTAGCTATTTATAACGCCGTTATTTTTCTTATCATTATTCTATTATACGATTTGACAGTGTATGTGAAGGTGGCATATCATTTGATGGAAACTCATAAAATATTGAGAGTTCTGAACGTATTTTCAATAGTTCTATAGTTCTAGATGGATAAAACTAATAGTTCTGCCCTCTAAAGTGGAGAAAAAGTGAAAGTACAAACTGAGACGCCAGGTTCACGGAGCATCTCACTTTATCCTACGCAAATTTTGACCATAGATTCTTGCAGAATTTTGAAAAACAAAGAGTTCTAGATGAGTTTCCGAAAGAGTTCTGGTGATAAATAATGTTATTTTTAATTTTTAATATTTTAGCCCAAAAATACAATTTTCAGCAATAAAGATGAGATGCTGTCCAATTATCGACAGTTCTGAGAGTTCTGTGATAATTTTTGTGCAATACTTTTTTTTTTGTATGCTAACGCCTTCCGAAGAGTTCTGATAATAAAAATTATTTACAAATTTTTTAAACAATTTTTAATACCCGAGAAAAACGCTTTTTATGCTATATGTGTGAGACGCTGACCGAAATCAGAGAGTTCTGTTAGAATTATTGTGCTTATCGTGTAGCTACGGATGTATGCTAACGCCTTCCGAAGAGTTCTGATGATAAAAATAATTTAGAAATTTTTAAAACAATTTTTAAGACACGAAATAGGCCCTTTTTATGCTATATGTATGAGACGCTGATCGAAATCAGAGAGTTCTGTGAGACATATTGTGCTTATCGTGTAGCTACGGATGTATGCTAACGCCTTCCGAAGAGTTCTGATGACAAAAATTATTTACAAATTTTTTAAACAATTTTTAAGTCGTGAAATAGGCCGTTTTTATGCTATGTGTGAGACGCTGGTCGAAATCAGAGAGTTCTGTGAGACATATTGTGCTTATCGTGTATACACACATAGCATAAAAAGCATTTTTCTCGGGTATTAAAAATTGTTTAAAATATTTGTAAATAATTTTTATCATTAGAACTCTTCGGAAGGTGTTAGCATACATCCGTAGCTACACGATAAGCACAATAGGTCTCACAGAACTCTCTGATTTCGACCAGCGTCTCACACATATAACATAAAAAGAGCCTATTTCGCGACTTATAAATTGTTTAAAAAATTTGTAAATAATTTTTATCATTAGAACTCTTTGGAAGGCGTTAGCATACATCCGTAGCTACACGATAAGCACAATAGATCTCACAGAACTGTCTGATTTCGACCAGCGTCTCACACATATAGCATGAAAAGAGCCTATTTCGCGTCTTAAAAATTGTTTAAAAAATTTCTAAATTATTTTTATCATCAGAACTCTTCGGAAGGCGTTAGCATACATCCGTAGCTACACGATAAGCACAATAATTCTAACAGAACTCTCTGATTTCGGCCAGTGTCTCACACATATAGCATAAAAAGCGTTTTTCTCGGGTATTAAAAATTGTTTAAAAAACTTGTAAATAATTTTTATCATCAGAACTCTTCGGAAGGCATTAGCATACATTCAGTATTGCACAAAAATGATCACAGAACTCTCAGAACTGTCGATAATTGGACAGCATCTCATCTTTATTGCTGAAAATTGTATTTTTGGGCTAAAATATTAAAAATTAAAAATAACATTATTTATCACCAGAACTCTTTCGGAAACTCATCTAGAACTCTTTGTTTTTCAAAATTCTGCAAGAATCTATGGTCAAAATTTGCGTAGGATAAAGTGAGATGCTCCGTGAACCTGGCGTCTCAGTTTGTACTTTCACTTTTTCTCCACTTTAGAGGGCAGAACTATTAGTTTTATCCATCTAGAACTATAGAACTATTGAAAATACGTTCAGAACTCTCAATATTTTATGAGTTTCCATCAAATGATATGCCACCTTCACATACACTGTCAAATCGTATA